GGCTGTGGAGGTCACAGTGGGGAGTGGGAAGCTGACCCTTCCTTCCAGCCCTCCTGGTCCAGTGCAAGTTACCCACTGGGTTTGGGGGCATCATAGGGTCACGGCAGAGGTCAGAAGTCACTCACAGGGATCATACCAGGGTTTGTGCCACAGAGCTTACAACAGCTCACCAGAGCCAGGAGCCTAGGTTCATTTCTCAAACATTTATTGGTGCTTCCTCAGGCTGGGAAGAGCTTCCACTCTGGGGGGAAATACAGGAAAACCCAACAGCTGCATCTCCCAGTTGTCTAACGGTGGCTAGAGAGAGGGGGTATCAGATCACTGGGACCTGGGAGCGGGGATTTTGGAGCGAATGGAGGTTAGGTTAGGTTAGGTCACCATGTGTGGGGTTGTGGTGAGGTAGAAGCGGAGGTCCCTGAGCACAGGCACTGGACATCATGGTGAGTTGGACCGAGGGGTTCTCAGTAGTGGTGGATGGGGGAGAATTTTTTTTTTGGCAGTGGGTGCCAAAAGCGGGGATGGTGAAGGGCACCTGGTTACTAAGTGAGGCAGTGGGTATGGCTCCAGGGCATTGGGTATAGTCAGCAGCTGAGCCTCTTCTTACAGATCCAGAAGGTCTTCTCATCACACGGTGTATCGTTCCACAGCCCTGACGGGAGCAGCATGACACAGTCCTCGCGTCCCTGAGCGTCATTGGGCTCCCCCAAGCTCCAGCGGCTGCAGTGGTTGGGTTGGGTGTTACTGTGAGTCTAGGTTGAGGACTGATCTGGGGTCTAGCCTTCCTTCCCAGGGTCTACACTGTTTATTGCTTTGTCGATCCTAGACATCCTGAATGTATAACTTAGGCTTGCACCTGGGATACAACTTTCTAACGCCCAGAATTGAACCCTAAGCCAGTTCCTGGGGTCTAGCCCGCCCATCTCTAAGAATCTAGCCCAAGCAAGGACTCCTCGAGATCCCGCCAAAGCACTTCCTCTAGAGTCTAACCTGCCCTCTCCAAGTCTCACCAGTAGCCCTTTCCTCACCTGTGGCTGAGTGGGACTCCATCTATCCACTTGTAGCTCTGAATCCTGCCCTTCTGGCGCACGGCCCTGAGTCCCATCCAGTATTCGTGGCCATGCGTATTCCCACTCAGGAAATTCTGGAATGGGAGGGTAGACAGGAGCTGCAGAGTCCTCCCGGCCCACCCAACCGCCTGGACCAAGCCCCCTGAGGTGAACACCCACATCCCCTTGTGCACCTGCTCATCCTGGCCCCTAATGATCACCAGGTGCGCGCCCGCGCCAGCGCAGTGCTGCTGCGCCACTGCCCACGTGGCCCGCGGCACCGAGAAGTAGTAGCAGGAGCCCTCGAAGGGCAGCCACGACCTGGGGCACTCCTCACAGGAGCCTGTGGATTGGCGAACGACAGACAAGTGGGCTGCTACCAGGCGGAGCACACCGACAGATGCGGTGGGGAGCGGGGTTGGACTCCGGAGCCCATCGGTGGAGCCACAGAGACCAGGCCAAGGTCAAAGGGCGAGACAGGCAGATCTGGGAACCCGAGGTCCACGGGCAGGATTCAGTTGCCTCCCTGACCCCACCCCGTCTTGCTCACCGTTGTGGAGCCTGATGGCATCTAGTGTCTGGAACAGCTCATTGCGGATGTTTTCGCGGTCCCTGCTCGATTCAGCCAAGCCCTGGGTCACTGCGAGGTGAAAGGAGTCGCGATTATAGCTGGGATTAAGGTAAGGAGCAGGGTCATAACCAGGTGAAGGTCATGATCCTCGCTCGTGGTCAGTTCACAGTCAGTACCAGGGTCAAGAAGGACGTCAGGATCGAGGATTGTCATAACTGGGTAGGATCCAGGTGTGCCTGGGGTTAGGAGTTGTAGTCAAGGTCAGAGGCCAGCGGTCAGAGTCAGGATGGGGGGCCCGATGGGGGTCGGGGGCAGGATCACAGGACAGGGTCGGGGCACGGCCTCGGCCGGGGCTCGGGGTTCACGGTCACGTCCAGCACTCACTGCGCTCACGAAGTTCTTTCAGGGCGCTCTCCTGCTCGATCAACTTGGCTTCCGTCTCCAAAATATCAGCGTGCGTTGTCTGCAGCTGTGCCCGCGTCCCCAAGCCTGGGATTGGCAGGGAGAGGGGGATGGAGGGAAGGGGGGGGCGCAGAAGGCGAGGAAGGGGCGGGACTTCG